GTAGGGGTGAGAAGTAGGATGATTAGGAGGCAGAGGAGGAGGCGGAGACGTAAAGGATACTTACAGCAATGGCAGAGTAAAAGAGTTTTCAGTTTTTTGCAGTTTGCAATGAGCATCGGGAAGGTGGCCCCCTTCACATTCAGGCAGTAGTTGAGCGCGATGCATTCTAGTTGCAGACAATTAGTTGCCAGAAGCTCGACGTGGCTGTCGTCGACGAAACTGATGCCGAACAGGTTGATGACTCGCAGATTTGGCGTGTGGGCGCGAATTTTGCTGATGTTAATTACCTAACAGGAAGGGATAAAACGTAGGTCAGCGGGAGTCATAGACTGAAAAAAGCACATCAGAAGCTCATTGGCAGATTAAGTGGTACCAGAAATATTCGCCCTAATAACAGCGGAATGCAGGTGACGGATGACTTCGGATAAAAAATATCCGTTTAGGTGGGGTGAAATTTATGTAAAATCAATTAATATAACAATTTAATAGAGAGTTCGATGGCAAAGGGGAGATTTCGTTTCTTAATACTGCCATTTAGCTTATTTTTTTCTGAGTGGTCTTATTATGGCACTTGGTACAGAGTCCATATCGGTAAACCAGAAACAATGAATTAAGCATCATTAATTATTTTGGAGTTTCCACCATAAACGTAAAGGTGCCATCCCTATGCATAACGCTTGTTTCTTTCTTGACTAAACATAGAACTGGAAAAGTGTCATAACGATCACAATCCTTACTGCCAGTTAATAGCCGTTTAGGCTAAATTAGGCCTGAAGCAGTCAGTTACTTCAAATGAATGAAGCCTAGGTGAACTGTCATGTCTTCCATCTGCGCCAGCACTGATCTTTTTAGGGACGATGACATTTTATTCTAAACTCAGCACTGAATGATCGGAAGTCAGTTTACGTGAATTGCAACACACACAAACACTTCTTACAGGGAAAAGGCTCTATCGAGTGCCTTTTTATGGAGCTGGCATTTAAGCGTCCTCCTTATCTCCAGACTACCCTTTTCAGAAGCATTGTTCGTATCAGGTTGACACACAGGACACCTCGGTAAGATTGCGTACGCCCGAATTTACGAGATATAACACTAGTAAGCTACCTTTTAGCCCATTCAAAGTCCGTTTTGCGATTTAGCTTGCTTGCAGGAAGACTGGGTAGACATTAAAAAGGAGAGTTAGGACAAGGGCCTCTTACTCAGTACACTTACATTTGGTATATCGCCCATCTCATGAAATCTCATTCATTTCCGAAGAAAATCCCTGTTAAAGGATTGCAAAAGTTAAGGCACGACAGTTCTTAACAAGAAGGCATATTGCGGTTTACAAAGTAATATTACGTTATTTAGAGGGTTTTGACAGATTTGCTTAATTTAATTGACTCAATTGTGAAAAAACTCGCGGCGTCGGTGGGAGTCGAACCCGCATAACAGGAAAGGCCTCTACGCAGCCAGCGCTTTACGGCTTAAGCTACGATGCCACGCCGTGCGCCGTGTATTTGATTACAATTGGATCGATTTTACCCGCCCAACTTTACCACTCGTATGGAATCCACCAGTACGGAACAGCAAGCTGACTGCCCAGGCAGGATTTCCTGAGTAATCATCTAGAATCTACCAGAATGACTACCTCGTTGTTTAGGGCTACCGCCTTTTTCTGAAAAGTAAGAAATTCCGAAAATGCAAAAAATCTGTGTAACCAACTAAACTTTAGTGTAAAATGGACAGAAAAGCCGCCCATGCAAACGGTAAAACAAAATACGGTCAGAGAGGTTTATAACGGCGTTTTGTGACAAGTAGAAGCTTCAGGAATGGGCAAAACAAAATGTTAATTTCAAACTGAATCCGGTCCTTGTTTGTGGAAAACAGTGCGATTCCTTACAGATATTTCCACACGAATTGCATTAACTTAAGATTAGATTTCCTGGCAGGGATGTCGGTAGAGGTCCTATTTGCCTTTGGCTTATAATAGTAACCTACTTTTACATTCACGGTAACCCGACCTTCTCTTTTTCGTTGAATCCCGCCAATATAACGTCGAACTTACTTTTTTACGTTAAGTTCCGCCAATATAAGGTCAAATTCCCATAACTAGACATCACTTACCTGAGTAACAGGAGTTTATGTTGGTGGAGTTGATTCTATTTAGCAATTATAAGTTTCTTAAATTGAACATTCTTTGATCACTTTCAACACAATTAAATATTCATTTAAACTCATTAAGCAAGAACTAAATGTTTACTAACCAATTCCGTAAGACAATTGGGCAGGGGAAATTGATATTAAAACTGCCCTACAAGAAATTGCTTGGATATCCGATAACCTCCGATGTCACTAAACTCCTACCTGTTTTCTTTTAATATAGATAACCAACATTTAGTTTCCTTTACTTAAAGGGTTTCTGAGCATTAAATCCACTCAACCAATCAAAATTTCAAATCTGGCGGGCTTTTCAAATTGAGGCACCATTTTTTTCCTCCCTCCAATCGCATGTAAAATTCCTGACATAAACGTCGGTTGACGTACCTCGCCCATTATAAACCGGTGCTTATCCCTCTTTGTCTTATTCAACTCAAAAGAGCTCATGAGTGTCCGAGGTCACGAAAGTAATGCCGTTTGCAAGGCAGTCCATTTTGGCCTATATTCGATGACTTTTCCAAGGACATTTATCCACGATGTCGAAAAGTGCAGTCATTGTCGATTATGGATTGATTTTTATATCCGTGTGTTGTGAGTTTATGCGCCTTATTTTATTCTTAATGAATGGAGGACGTTTTTTGTTGTAAATTTTGGTATTATATTTTCAAAATAAAGCGTATCTCTCTCTCTCAGCAAGCGTACGCTAAACTACCAATTCGAATTTCGGTCTCGAGTTAGGTCATCTACTGTTTGCTGTTATCCCCTCTGCGCATACGACGTTGCGAAGCTAATCCATCCGCAAACTTCAAGTGCCTCGCCAAAGATATTCCTCTAGTACAAAAAAGTACGACCTCAGCTTATTGGGGATGCCCAAACGACACGAGCCAGTGAAGCGGAACGAAGAAAAAAGAACAAGCAGAGGAAAAAAATCCTTGGCATTTTTTAGGCAAAAAAACTGTCACTCGTGGGAGGACAGTACACTAGGTCGAGGCAGGGAGGGGGTCGTGAAGATCTCCGTGACCTCTACGATCCGCTCCTCGCTTCAAATTAGCGTAGCGCCCTCCCATGAACGACAATTTTTTGTCATAAAAATAATCGGTGAGTTTTTTCCCTGTCTGCTTTTTTTGCCTTTATTCCACCTCCCTGACTAGTGTCATTCGGCCTCTCCAATAAGCTGAGGTACTACTTTTTGATAACATTGCATGCATGTAAATTAATAGGAACGTACGAGGTGCCCACCTATATTTCCCTCAAATAAATTGAACTGAACTGAACCGACGCCACACTCCAGTGCATCCTTAACAGCGTTCCTTCCGCAGAATTCACTGACAGGGGCTGACAACGTCATACAGTAATAGAAACCAACTGTTAAATTCCAAAGCAGCCCGCATTTCAGTTTTCGTGCTAGGAAAGAAAACCTGACGTGTAAAGAAACCACTCTCCTGCTCTCCTCCCGATATGTGCCGATGGTTCATTTTTACCCATGTTGGATAAACATCCTCATGGCCAACAGTCATGGGCTTCTGGTACACTGCAACGCAGAAAAACACTGTGCCTGGTCTTTCCCATGCGCTTTGCAACGAACGTCGGATGTATACATTCTCCGCAGGTAAGAATCTCACTGGCCGTACAAGGTTTTTCAATAAATCATAATTTGGCTGGATGTCTTTCCTAATGACCGCTATGTGGTGTTTTTTTAAAACGGTTCGTCCGCTGGAGCAATTGGCGCTTAGCCGAACAAAATTAGCTTTAACCCACTTGTCATTTAAGCTAAGTGGCACGTATCGAAGGCATACGCGAGATTTTCGACTATTGGGCTGATGCATTCTTCGTGGTTTTAAACGGTTGAGAACGTCTTGCAAGTAAAATAAAAAGGTACGGAAACCTCACCTCGTATATTTCCTCTTCTTCCTCGGCAGCCATCTCGAAGGTGCCTAAAACAAAGGCAGCATGTGGCTGAATAAATATAAATTGCTGTATAAATATATTAACAGAATGTTCAGAGTATGACAAAAACTGATCTGACGGAAAATGTGGGTCCCCTTACTACAGAGACGCCTTGCGTTAAATGTCTCGTAGGATAGCTTTAGTATTTACCCTTCGCACACCAAAAAAAACCGCTCGCATCCTAGCCCTCAAACTAGCTCTAAAACTAAAACTAACGCTAACCCTTTCTCTCTGGTATTTAACGCAAGGTTAGCTGTTATTCGGAGGGTGCCTAATCCCTTGTTCACCTCAAAAATATGGCAGAAGGATCGCCTTAAAACTAAGATTTTTGGCAGGCTGTCTCCTCTTATATTCGTTTTTGATTTGGTACTTAGTAAGCGGCAAAGAACGCTAACAATCTATTATATGTTACACCACAGAAACTAACAAACTCAGAATTCTGTAGAACGGGGCCGGTGCGTGCGACCATTTAAATATCACCAAAAATCAACTTAACTTGACACAAATAAAAGGTAACTGAATAAACCGCCGATGAGTAAATCGGAGCAGATCAGTAGTCAATGGGAAATAATCTAATAGGAAGCAAGAAATGTGAAACTGAAACCTCTAATGGGCGACAATTATTTGAGTGATACGGGCGTGGTGCTATCTATAACAGAGTGTTATCGGAAAAACCTCTGTCAAAACCCAGGTTCCCTGTAACTTATATGGTTAAAGGAAGGCATTCCGCTTCCGGCTCTAAACAGTGAGTCAAATTCACTAACCCTCACCCTAAACTTAGTTTTGCCCTAAACTTAGCGTTAACCCCAAACCCTAACCTTAATACTTACACTTATCTCCCTGAAAATTAGCGCAAGAAATCCGGACAGAGGAGATGAACCTGTTCCTTTCCTAGACAAAAACGGGATATTCGTGCCGTCTGTGATCAGCAATTCGTGCGTAAACACAGCACGCGCAGTCGAAAGAATCTAAATACAACAACCATTTGAGTCCCATTCTCTAGTGCTATTAATTCTGGTAGCTTAGAATTTTTTTTTGTCTTTGAACATTTCCATGGAAAACCGAACAGAAAGGCGGATTACCGATTGAAGCAAACAGGATTGACTAAACACCAACGTGGAAATATGCTGAAGCAAATTTAAAGTGTAAAGATAGATAGGCGCTCACCGATCGGGTATGGAACTCACTCATCCCGTTTGGCCTTGGGGCTCGTTCTCAAGTGTATAGTGGGTATATAAAGCGTTTATTTCCGTTCGAAACCAGCAAGGCAAGGATTCCGTGACGCAGTTGGTAGAGCGTTGGACTTCCAATTAACAAGATCACGAGTTCGAGCAACGGGGGTCGCCTGGGGTTGGGTGACTGATGATGGCCAATAAGCCAGAAACGACCATTCCAGTCTCCCTTGTCTTTATCGGTAACGTACCTCTACTTTCATGTGTTTTCTTTTCTCCCTTAGTTCTATTAATTAATAGTCTAAGCTCAACCTGGGCCTAGTATCCCGATTCATCCAATGAGGCGGCCGGAAGCGTAGGTGTTTATGCTTACCAATAAGATGCAGAACTTCCAGGGAGGAGAGGGAGGTGTAGATCTTTCGCATCAGGCCTTCCATGAAGATGACATCACTCAGGCAGATGCAGAGATAGGTCAGTGAACCGGGAAAAGCCATCATCTCGTTGAAGTCGTGCAGTTGCATGGCGTTGCTGAAGTCCAGGGTGAGGTAGCGCAGATTGGTGCACTTGTTGCCCAACTCCTCCAGCACAGGAACCGTGATGAGATCACTCGAAATCTCCAAGTAGCGCAGGCCCTCACCGGAGCGCTGATTGATTAGGTTGAGGAAATCCTCCACTGTGGGTACCTTAATTGACAAAAACAATTCAGCGAATGTTATTACTTCAACTGCAATTCACCTCTGTGACATAAAATAAAGGGTGAAATTGCAGCGGGCAGGAGAAGAAAGTAGCACTAGAACATGTTCAGTTTCAATGTGATAACACACCCATGTTTTTCTGCGTCCGGCTACAGAATGCGAGGGATAGTTTATTAGAAAGTTCTAAAAAAATCTGGCGCCTTACACTTTATCGAGTGCACCTCCATTTAAAGAATATTAAAGAAAGTCACTTAGATATCTTCATGACAGGTTGCAAGCACATAAAACCTAACAGTGCATCGATCCCGAGTCCTGAGCCGGTTGATGAACTATGAACGTCAGAAAACGCGAAACTATGAGTAGTGAAATAAAAGGCATAATTTCATTTCTCTTAATCCGGTTGTGAAAAGCCTGGCAACATCGGTGGGATTCGAACCCACGATGGTAAGGTGAAGGGAATTGGTGAATGCCATACGTTTCCAGAGGCTGGCTGGTTAAATTGACCCAAGTATGATTGAACTCATGGCTCTTGGTGGGCAGCAGGTGGCTAGAGCGTTGATTTTACACTTAAGGGAAGAATATCTTTCGGTTTTGAAACTTACTTAATTGCCAGATAACTTTAAGCTCTACCGGCCGTTGCATTTGCGTTCAAGTTTTCTAGACTGCATGCTGTATACATTCTGTCTAAGGAAAATCATACATTCCCCTACAGTTAAATGTCACATGGCACTCATAAGATTTTGCAATGGATTTTGCTCAAAGAGTCTACTTTATAGGGACGTTTGCTAAATTAACGGATACAATGTATTATTAATCAACAACTCATGATTTTAAAAATCTCACAATTAGCATTTTTAGAAACCGAAAAATGCTCTTTTTTCGACTATAAAAAGAATACAAGAAAAACATGTTTGCTTGTTTTCTAGGACATGTATTTGAATGTATAAAGCCATTGAAAGTCAATGAGAAAACTGCATACCATTTGGGCAGCAATTTTTTAAGAATACAAGATCTTCGGGCGGTCAATAAGAAGCTCGTGCAAAAGCCGGCTTCCTGATAGGACTAAAAGCTCTTGAGATTAGGATGTACGATAATCAGAACCACACTCCTATTGAAGTAACGTTTTCACATCAAAAACAAATTTCAGAATATCGGCTAACATTTCACAAGATAGGAAACCTACTGCACGTTATACACTTCAGAGTTTTCTTATACATTGCCTCGCCGCAATAACATTAGTCAGCGGCCGCAAACTAGGAAAATACCGCAAGTTCTCGCAAGTAGTGCATAAGTCGGGC